CCCTGAGGGGGGCAGGTTTAGAAGAAGGGGGCCCCTGGCCTGTAGGCCACATGGAGCTGGAGGGGCTGAGAAGCGCACAGAGCCTGCCCCCTCCTAGCAGATACCTACACTTTAACTGGCAGGAGGGGAGGGGAAGCCCCAGCTTCTTGGCCCATAGGGCTCCAAGGCACCATATACATGCAATTACCAAGATTTGGTAGGTTTTCTTGGGCAAAGGGTTCTTCCTTTGCTGAATTCAAAGACCTCAGGTGCTTGGTTGTCATTTTCACCTGTTCTTCCCGTGTCTTTGGGGAGAGGCCTGTGGGACCCCAGGCTACCGTCCTGAAAGAAGGACCCCACTAAATCTGTTCTGGCACCACAACTGTGAGTGAAAGAACGGGTGAGAGAATCTTCTGCAACTCAGAGCTTCTCAAAAAATATTTTTTTAATTTTGGAATTAGATTTTCCCCTCAAGATCTTGGAAGGGCCAGGTGCCTGTAGCTCACACCTAGCTACTCAGGAGGCTGAGATCTGAGGATTGCAGTTCAAAGCCAGCCTGGGCAAGAAAGTCTGTGAGACTCTTAGCTCCAATTAACTACCAGAAAACCAGAAGTGGGGCTGTGGCTCAAATGGTAGAGCGCTAGCCTTGAGCTCAAGAGCTGAGGGACAGCACCCAGGCCCAGAGTTCAAGACCCACGACTGACAAAAAAAAAAAAAAGATCTTGGAGGGCTGCACAGCTGGTTGTGAGGGAGGCTGGACATGCGGGCGTCTGACTCCAAGCGACCTCTCTTTAATCTCTGTACTGGGCTGGGAGACACTCGGGGACACAAGTCTATGGTTTCCACATCATGTTTCTGCCACCTCCAAGATGTCGCGGGGTGCCAGCGTGCAACTGCTTGTCCCCTGCCTTTCCTGCAGGTGCTGTGGCCCCTGGGCCTCCATGTGTGCGAGGAGACCTGGCCCTGGGCTCTCGGGACCCGGCGCTGTGTGAGAGGACACACTGCACTGAGCCGCTCACGCTGGCCATGCCTGTGCCCACTGAGGGTACCCCACCGCCCCTGAGTGGGACCCCTGTTCCAGTACCAGCCTACTTCCGCCATGCAGAGCCTGGCTTCTCCCTCAAGAGACCTGGGGGCCTCAGCCGAAGTCTCCCACCCCGGCCTCCTGCCAAGGGCAGCATCCCCATCAGCCGTCTCTTCCCTCCTCGGACTCCTGGCTGGCACCAGCCCCAGCCCCGGAGGGTGTCATTCCAGGACAAGGCATCCGAGCCCCTGAAGAGCCCTGGGTATGACCCCAGCCGGCCTGAGTCCTTCTTCCAGCAGAGTTTCCAGAGGCTCAGCCGCCTGGGCCATGGCTCCTATGGCGAGGTCTTCAAGGTGAGTTTAGGGGTCATGGCCCAGGCTCGCCTTGGGATCCCATCCCTCACTCCCCTGCGCAGCCTGTACACACTCTTTCTTTCTCTCCCTTCATAGTCCATCTCTCTTGGGCCGACAGCCCTCCCTCTGTGTTTAGATTTCTCCCAAGCCCTCCTGCAAGCCCCCAGCACACTGGCCTCTTTTCCAGAGCCTGGCGCAGCCTGCGTGGCCCCGGGATGACATTTCTCCATCTGGATCCAACTGTGCTGGGGTTCTTGGCAGACCCTGCCTGGCTCCTGGAGCTGGCCTAAATGCATGCCCCCACTCCCGCCCCCCCCCCCCAGACTGGCGGGCTCAAAGCTACCCCATGCCTACCTTTATTTTTTTTTAATTCATTTTCCACTGACTTACATTCCCTTTAAAATCATAGCTTTCCCTGGCACAGTACTATATAAAGGCAATCTTATTACACGCGCCAGCAGCCTGGCCCCTGAACCAGCTCTCCTCAGAGGAAAGCTTGTGTAGCGCAGCACACTGCCCCATTGTCCTGCGCCCTGGGCAGTCCATGGGGCAGAACACATGGATTCCCCCGCCTGCACCGGTGCTGCGTCTCCAGCACACCATCCTACCAATGGAGGCTTGTCGTTTTGTTTCTGTACGTAGGGGTCTCCCTAAGTGCTACCACTTTCCTCTCCCCCATATGTGAAATCTTCATGCCATCTGCTGATGGTCCCTGGCCCCTGCCTGTGGGCACCACACCTCTTTTCCAGGTTCGCTCCAAGGAAGACGGCCGGCTGTATGCAGTCAAGCGCTCCATGTCACCATTCCGGGGCCCCAAGGACCGGGCCCGGAAGCTGGCTGAGGTAGGTGGCCACGAGAAGGTGGGCAAGCACCCACGCTGTGTGCGACTGGAGCAGGCCTGGGAAGAGGGCGGCATCCTGTACCTTCAGACAGAGCTGTGTGGGCCCAGCCTGCAGCAACACTGCGAAGCCTGGGGTGCCAGCCTGCCCGAGGCCCAGGTCTGGGGCTACCTGCGGGACACTCTGCTGGCTCTGGCCCACCTGCATGGCCAGGGCTTGGTCCACCTTGATGTCAAGCCTGCCAACATCTTCCTGGGGCGCCGGGGTCGCTGCAAGCTGGGTGACTTTGGGCTGCTGGTGGAGCTGGGTACCACCGGAGCGGTCGAGGCCCAGGAGGGAGACCCCCGCTACATGGCTCCAGAGCTGCTGCAGGGCTCATACGGAACAGCCGCAGATGTGTTCAGGTGAGGACTGGGGTGTGGAGGATGTTGCAGGTGGTCACCAAAGAGAGGGACTCACCAGGAGAGAAGCCGTCCTGTCCTGGCTTTAGGTCAGACACTTGGCCTCAGGCCGCAGAGACGCTGGCTGCCTTCTAGCTCTGAGGTCCCCAGAGCAAGCTGCTCAAATGCAGTGCTGCCTTTGGAGCCCCTTTCTCTCCTCACAGCTCCATAGGAGGAGTGGTGACTGTACTCTGTCCTAGGAAGGAATGACGCAGAGATCCTAGGGCCTTGCCCCAGTCCCCAGTTGCCACCGTGGCCGGGCACAGGCCCTGGGTTCCCAGCCACTGCCCCCCCTCCACCAGTGGTACCTGTGATCACAGGAAAACTGTGATGATTTAGAAACTGTGGTGTCTGTCGGTGGGGTTCTGGAGGGCCTCCATTACAGCCTGTCTGCCACAGGGATGTGTGTCCACACTCTACAACAAGGTCTCTGTGCTGCTTGGGGTTCACTGGCTCTCCGGGGGCTTCCTCAGAACCCCCACCCTCCTCACGCCATCCCCCTGGCTTATGATAGACTCTCTCCTGCTCTTTCATTACCGTGTGGGCATCTGTCCTGAGGCTGCCTCTGCTAGTTCTGTCCCTGTCCCTGTCCTCCCAGCCTCGGTCTCACCATCCTGGAAGTGGCCTGCAACATGGAGCTGCCCCGTGGTGGGGAGGGCTGGCAGCAGCTGCGCCGGGGTTTCCTGCCCCCCGAGTTTACTGCTGGTGAGTGGGGACCAGGAGCCGGGGCCAGTGGCGGGGGAAGCCGCTGGGCTGGGACCCCTGACACAGCCCGGCCTTGTGCACAGGTCTGTCTGCTGAGCTGCGTTCCGTCCTTGTCATGATGCTGGAGCCTGATCCCCAGCTGCGGGCCACAGCCGAGGCCCTGCTGGCCCTGCCCATGCTGGGGCAGCCGAGGCCCTGGAATGTTGTGTGGTGCCTGGCTGCAGACGCACTGAGTCGTGGCTGGGCCCTGTGGCAGGTACGCTGCACCGTGATGGCTGCCCGCGTGCTTCCCACCGCCGCAGGCTCCCCTTCCCCTTACAGCGTAGCCCAGGCTGGCCTCAAGCTCCTCATCCTCCAGCGTAGCCTCCTAAGTGCTTAGATTCCAGCCGCTGTGCTTGTCCTCTCCATCTCCTAGGCCCTGCTCACGCTGCTCTGCTGGCTCTGGCACAGCCTGGCTCACCCTACAAGTTGGCTGCAGCCCCCGGGGCCGCCGACCACCCCTCCCGGCTCACCGTCCTGCAGCCCCCTCCTGGACAGCAGCCTCTCCAGCACCTGGGATGATGACAGCTTGGGGGGGTGAGACCCCGCCCCCAGGGTGGTGAATCCCTGGCCAGCAGCACATGGGAGGAGGCTGGGGCCTCATGGAGACGGGTGCATTGGGCCTTGCCTGCAGCCTGCCTCTGTCACACCCTGAGCAGCGTGGCCTGGCCTGCGTGCACATGGCTGTGTACAGGGCAGCAGTCACAGCGCAGCGCCACACTAGGAAGGGCAGGGAGAGGGTCAGCAGGGGTGCAGCTGCCACCTCAGCAGAGGCTGCCACTGCCCAGGAACCATACATTGTCCTTCCCTGGTGTAGACGCCTCCAGAGCCCAGTGAGCACCTGCCCCGAGAGAACTCGAGTCCCAGGTGCCTGGTGGCCAAGAGGCTGTAATTAAGAAACCGCAGCACAGAAAAGACACGTGCTTCCGCACTCCTGGGAGGACTCCCTCACGGCAGCGTGTCCCGGCTCCAGCTCCATTTACCAAAAGCTCACTTGACATCAGCCTCAGAGCCTGTCTATCCTGAGGAGGGGGAGAGGCCTCTTGGAAGGGCTGGGCGGAGGGAACAAGGTGCTCAGAGGCAGTGCGCGGTCGCTGTCCCCTGTGGACTTGGAGCCGTGGGAGGCCAGACCTGGTTTTGCCCCGCATCACTCCCCCCCTTAAGGCCTGGTTGTTTCACTCACTTCCCTGCAGGCCCTCGCTCTCCCCAGAGCCTGTCCTGTCCCGGGCCACCAGGAGCACGTCCACGCCCCAGGGCAGGTACATGTGGAGGTGAGCAGCCTGGGGACTGGGCTGGCTAGGACTGGTTTTGAATTCCAGAGTGTCATTCCTCTTTCCTACTTCCCCCAAGGGACACCCAGGACCTAAGTGACATGGACACAGAGCCTCCCCGGGGCTCCTTTCCCTCTTTTGAACCTCGGAACCTCCTCAGCCTGTTTGAGGACTCACTGGACCCAGCATGAGCTGTGGGCCCCGCTTCAGTGCTTTTAACCATTGACCCCTTTTTCTGTCCCTCCTCCCGGAAAGCTGGGGTCCCTCTGGGCCCTCCTGTGTCTAATAAAAGTTGACTCTTGGGCGCACCCAAGCCTGCTCACATGGCCATGTAGCACTTCTGGTCCTTTTATTGATGCTGCCCAGGGTCCTGAGTCCCCGGATGGTCTGGCCTCTGGGCCGAGATCCGCTCAGCGCAGTCTCAGGCCTCTGGTGAGCAGAGATGCACTGTGTGGAACAGATTTCCTGAGTGGGCCCAGCCCTGGTGGGCAGGTCATGTCCTCAGACCGTGGCACTGAAGGTTGAAGACCAGCCTGGTCCCAGGGGCCTGGGTCCAGGGCCACCCATCCCCATCTGTGCTTGCTGGATCAAGCAGCCGCCACCATGTGCCTCTTAGCCGACTGGTACACGAAGGGTGACACCCACTGGGTCCTGGGAGAAGGGGCTGGTCCTTCACCCTCACTCCATCCAGTCTCTTGGGCCGGGAGGGGTGAGGTTTTGGCGCTGGGGGAGCTGGCATGCAGGGCGGAGATGGGAGCAGGGGTTTGCCAGGGACCCAGGAGATGTAGGCGAGGGGGGATGGGGAGATGGCTCTGGGCTGGCAGCCACAGGCAATTGGCAAAACAACTGTCAGGGCAAGAGAGAACCCTTGAGGCCCTCTGGCCTCGCATGTTACCAAAGGTAAACTGAGGCACAGGGAGACGTGTCCTTCCAGCTGGCACAGCAAAACAGTACCCTGGAGTAAGTCAGGAGGGGAGGCGTCAGGGTAGTTGGAGTTCCAAAGCCTGGGTGGAAGAGGTAAATCCATAGGGAATAATGAACAGACCAGGGGTCCCAGCTGGGAAGTCCCTGGCTCTGGAAGCTTCCTGGGGCAGGAGGGGGGAGGGGACAGTGTTGGGCAGGCCCTTGCAGACCAGCAAGAGGAAAGGTGTCCCAGGGCCACTGGGGAGGCCGTTCAGTCGGGGGGACACGCGTGGCGGGCTGCCCAGAGCAGGTCAGGCACCACCCCAGCGTGCAGCTGCAGGATGGAGCCCACGCTGAGCAGGTGCATGATCTGGTGGGAGTTGCCCCAGTAGTCGAAGCGCCCGGGTCCCCAGCGCTCTGGCAGGCGGGCCACGTTCACCAGCCCTCCGAGCAGTGCCAGGGCATCCATGCGCAGGTAGCAGGGCAGGGAGCCGGGAGCCCCCGAGCCCAGCCCCACACCACGGGCCCCGAACACCAGGAGGCGGGCCCCAGCTTGCCAACCAAAGGCCCGGAGCCGGGCGCTGGTGGAGGGGGCGGTGAGGGCTCTCCAGCCGGCCACGCCGGACAGGGCAGTGTAGCCCACCAGAGCCGCCGGGCGAAGCCAGGGTCTGCAGGCCAGTGTGCAGTGGATGATGGGCAGGGCCCCTGCAGAGAGAAAGCAAAAGAGCGCAGGTCAGCCAGAGCCTGCCCGCCCCTTCCCACCCAGGGCTCTCAGCAGCCCTCCCCCACGCCGGGGCCCTGGCTCACCCAGGGTGTTGACCAGGCAGACCCCACACATGTCCAGGGCCAGGAGCCGGGTGTACACGGGGCTGCCCCCTTGGTGGCACATGAAGAGGTGATAGAGCACCGAGGCGGCCGGGGGCGCCAGGCAGGCCACACAGTGTGCGCCCCCCAGCCAGCCGTCCTTGCCCAGCTGACTCCACGGCATGGTCATCGGCACCAGCACCAGGAAGCCCAGGAGGGCCAGCCCTGGGGAAGAGGGAGACAGTTACCCGCCGTCCATCAGCTCAGCATCGAAGACAGCATGTCTGAAAAGCTGAAGACGGCACGGGATGAGGCTGGGACGGCTCTGCAGTGGGTGGAATCAGGGCCTCTGGCTCAGCTTTTTCCCCTCCAGGCTCGTGCTCTACCACTTGAGCCACGCCTCCACACTGGCTTTTGCCGGTCAGTTGGAGATAAGTCTCTGGGATCTATCTTCCCTGGCTGGCTGTGAACAGGAACCCTCAGCTTCCTGAGTAGCTAGGATCACAGGTACCCGGCTGCCAGACAGGGGTGGGTGCTGCCGCCATGCAGCACCAAGGGCTGGAGACTTCAGAAATGGCTTGCCGAGGTGGCTCAACAGTTCTGGGGAGCAGAGATGACGAGCCCCACTTTGCTGGTGAGGAAACAGGCGTGGAAGCCAAGCAAACCCAAGAGGAGCCGGGTGCCGGTGGCTCACGCCTGTCAGCCTAACTACTCAGGACGCTGAGATCTGAGGATCGAGGTTCAAAGCCAGCCCAGGCAGGAAAGTCCGTGGAACTCATCTCCAATAAACCACCAGAAAAACGGAAGTGGCGCTGTAGCTCAAGTGGTAGAGTGAGGGATAGCGCCAGGGCCCAGAGTTCAAACCCCATGACCGACAAACAAACAAACAAACAAAACACTAGGTGAGCCCAGCAAGGAAGCAAACAACAGAGTTAAGAGCCCGGACGTCTAGCTCCTGTCCCGCAAGTGGCAGCAGCCTCGAAATGGCAGGACCCCAGCAGGCCTGCTCCTCGGGGTGTTCACAGAGGCCTCGGGGAGGCATGACCTGCAGAGCACCTCCCCCAAGAGTCCACACAAACGGGCCTTTTTCTGTCTTCCAGGCAGGAGCAAGGCCAGAATGAGGGAGCAATCCCCCCCCAGGTTCCTCTCAGGACCTCCAGTGGCGCAGCCAGCCGGGACTCTTCCTGGAGACTTGCGCCCCTCCTCTCCAGAGTTGGCATTGTCTCTCGGGGGTCACCTGGGGGCGCCAGCTGCCCGCTCTCGGAGGGGCCTAGCCTGGCAATCGCTCCTCCCTGGGGAAGGACCCTTGGCTAAGTCCAGCTGGCGCTGCCCCCCCCTCCCAGAAGCCGGGGCAGCTCAAGGACGGGCAGGGCTGTGTCAGCAAGAGCTCTGCGGGCCGAGGAGGAGGGGCAGGGCGCTGCGGGGGGAGGACGGAGCCACCGCCAGGCGGAGCCCCAAGGCTGGGCTGCCCGGACGGGGGCGGCGGGAAGGCAGGGCGGCGGGGCGGCCGGGCCCCAGGCCCCGGGAAGGGAGGGCTTCTCCCGGCCAGTTCATACCCATCTCTAGGACCGGCGCCCGGGGGTGGGAGGCGCCCAGGGCGCCGCGATCCCGAAAGGGTCGGACACTCCCGGGGGCTCGGCGGGATGAGGGGCCCAAAGGGGCCCAGTCCCCCCCCTCCCCGCTCCCCTCTCCGGTCCCCGCCGGGAAAGCGGAAGCTGGCAGCGCGGCTCGGGACAATGGCAGCTTTGTCACGGCCGCTGCCGGTGGAGCCGGGACGGGACACCCCGGGACCCGCGCGCTGGGGCGCTCCTCGGCCTGCGGCGGGGAGGTCGCGAGCGCGGGATGCGCGGAGCGGGGCGCGGCTGGCTCACCGTGGGTGTAGATGTTGCCCAGCTCGTTGTGCAGGTAGAAGAGGCTACGCAGGCAGCCGGAGCCGCTGCTGGCCGGCCGGTAGCCGGTCAGCACGAACTTATTGAACTGCAGGTGCGGCGGGGAGCTGGCCCAGTCCAGCAGGCGCGGCCCCGCCAGGAACGCCATGGCCTCCCGCAGCGCCGGCGGCCTGGGCGCCTCCGGATCCCCCCAGGCCCCG